ATCTGACTCGCCGATTCATTCTTGTGACTCGCTGAGTCCAATCAGTCCATTTTCCATACAGACTTATTTTAAGCCATGCAGTGGCTCCAAATCACAGATCTAGGCTGCTAGGGCATACTTATCACGTAAAGTTGCAAACTTTACGTACATGCATTGCCTTAAAGGCTCTAAATGTCAAAAAATAAGCTCTTAATGAACCTTCATGCCCAAGGGGGACCTCACACATGGCCAAATCCGAGACTTTATGATGCTATGACTCAGAGAGGGTCTAGATCTGAAGTTACAACTTCAGATCTAGCCTATAACTCAACTTGTCAACCTTCAAAATCCATAAAAACCCTAGAACTCAAACAATATGAAGGGTTTACAATAGAAATGGCGATTTGGTACCTTTTGAGGATGATAACTACCAATAGTGTTGTTCCCACACTCTATTTGTTCCGAATTCCTCTTCCCCAAGCTTTCTCTTCCCAAAGTTCTTTTATTCAAGCTTCACACACACACAAGGTACACACACACTTGAATCAGGCTCTCAGGGCTCTCTAAGACTGTAAAGAGTCCCAAGGGAGGCTAAGGTCCCTTTAAATAAGGGTGCAAACCTCGGAAACTAGGGTTTCATCTGCCAGCTCCTACTCGTCGAGTCCTACTATGGACTCGCCGAGTAGATCACTTAATCCGCGATCCCACCCGTTGCTACTCGACGAGTAGTGCAACCAACTCGTCGAGTAGGACCAAAACCAAGAAATTCTTATTCAAAACATTACCTGAGAATCGGGGCGTTACAAATTAATTGACTTTCATTCATGCTATGTTTGCACCAAATGAAGGTACAATTTTAAAAGTTGTTATTTTTGAATGTGAATTTATGATTTAGAAATAATTTTGTTATTTATTTCACTTATGATCTTGGAATAATTTTGTTATTTAACAAACACCACATTTATTTTTTAATTTCAGACATACATTATAGACTTCTATTTGTAGCAATTGTTTGCATTTGACTTTGAATTTGGGTGTTTCTGATTCCTATTCTAAAGTAGGCCAGTCTGTTATTGTGATTGTGCTTAGTGAAGATCTTAATTCCGGTTGATTCCAGGTTGCTTATTCATTGATATTTCCAGCCTTGCAGGAGGACGATAACAACACAATTCAAATTTCACAAATCAAATATTTACAAAAACAAATACAAATACAAAAAATTTCAATCATATTATTATTACCTGAAGTAAAACCTGAAAGATTGAGGTTTTGTTAGCTGACCACATTTCAAGAATGTTACCCATAACTTTAGATTCTTCCATATCTGAAGAAAACAATAAATGATTAATTTTGGTAGATAAGCAATATACATTACTACCTATAGCACATTTCAAAATACAAGCTTATTTTGGGCCAATGATTCCTCCGGGAGTTAGAGAAACAGTTATTGATTTAGTGGTTTAAGAGCAAAATTAATATATATTGCTATAAAAGTGCAACAACAATTTTTTGATAGTAGGATGTTATAATAGGAATAGATAAAGGTATGATACTTTAAAAAACTAATCAATATAAGTGCATTACCATTTTTGGCCAATTATCATTTACCTAGGCTACACATACCACCTACATGTCAATGTAAAAATATTGGTTATAAAATACTAAATATTGTGTATTGTATATGTTGATTAAAAGATATGTTAAATAATAAGAAATATAAATCAAAAAAACACAAAAAATATTATCTCAACTAGATATCATCTTAGGGTTGCCATCTTTTAATGAAGAATTGTATATTAACATATTACATTCTGCATCTAATTTCACCACTCTAAATTAAAAGTAAAATACTCTATTGGAAAAAAATGACAATAAGATGTTATCATAATCAAATAAATAAAAGTAGCATTGTTATTTTTCATTTTAACCCTTCTGCATAAAATCCTAAATAAACATCTATGCATGCACTTATACATCAAGTTATAAGAGTTTTAATAAACTATATCATCAATCAATCATTTGAATCGTATTAATAATACACTTCGTTGTCAAAAAAGGGGAGCAGTGTCCACTTCTCCAACTGGCTATCTGAAAGCAAAAAAGGAAAACCATTCCTTTTTCAATAATGGAGTTTGGAATATTTCCCTTCCTAACCTTTTAATCTAATTAACTATTCATCTGTATTATAAATACTTAAATAGTATAATATCTAATGTGATATATAGATAATAAATAATTATCAATAGCCGAAATAGACCATTAGACAATTAGACATGGTTTGGTGCATAAAATAACTCACTTTTTAAGTTTATTACATTTCAATGTCCGTTGTCCTTGGCTATGGTATATTGCAATCCAATATAACTTATATGGATTTCTGCAATTGGTTACATACCATTTTTTTTTGGCCTGCAAGATAATGAGGGAGTAGTAAAAACTAAGTGATTTTGATTGGAATAAGGATTAAAGGTATGCAAAAAGATAAAGTTTGATTAAAAATGAACAATGATTTAAACTAATATAAGTAGCTTGAAACATAGTGACCCACATAAACATGAATTTTTGATCACAACTGAAATATGGATCAGATATGAATTATCTGTATTATACATAAAATTGAAGACCTTACTATACAATGATACAAATCTCATAATATATAAGGTATATCAAATAAAGTAAATGTTTTATTTACTCATATGATCCCCTGAATAATCATTAACGAGATTTTGTCTAAAATTTAGGAATTTCAAAATTCAAATGTTTAAACAAAGACTCAAGTTTCAAAAATCGAACCAAAACCATTTCTACCTTATTGTGTTTCCGCTATTAACGAATGTGAGTTTATTCTTTTGAACGGCTTGAGTTTTCGCTTATATCTTCAGATACAACATTTCTGGAACAAAGAAAAACAGGTAAAATTTCTTCGACATAATCTATTAACTGTTAAAAAAACTAAGATTAACCATCAATTGATCATCTCTTACCTTGAATCTTGCTTTCTTCAAACCCCAAAGTTGCGTTCAACCAATCTCTGAGTTCGACATCGGGTATTACTCAATGTAAGCTTTTCTTCACTTCACATTTATAATCGGTGGTGTATTAGTATCTTCCTTCATCGATATACATGGATAAACATTGACACCCTTTAAGAAATCGAATGGTGGTTGTGAAAATGTGTATGTAATCGAAATTTTGGGTTTTTTGTTTCATCGTTTGTGTTACAACAAAAGGGTAAGGGGAACGTTTGGGGAATAATGATAACTTTTAGGTGGGTTTTATTATAAACTAAAAATTATGAATAATCATTAAAATGGTTAAAATGAAATTTATTTAATTTCTCATGTATTCGATTTTACTTTATGCATAAACACAGTTTTAAATGTAAAGCTGAATATCTTAAACATTTGAAAACATTAGTTGTAGTGGAATTTCCATATTATATATATATATATATAATATATATATATATATAATATATATATATATATATATATATATATATATATATATATATATATATATATATATATATATATATATATCGAGGGGTAGTGGAATTTCCATTGTATTATCAAAATCGAGCCTGAACAATGATAAAAATACGTTATATTTGGATAATAAAAAATCCAACGCAAACTCTAACATATCTATCCATCAAAAATCACCTATTACACATGTTTCTTACATATCAAATAACGGTATTGTTATTCGTTTATTTTATAATTGTTTTTGAACTATATAAATTATATCAAATTGCTAAATTCTAAAATTTAATTGTTTTTTTAATAATTAATTTTATTGGTTTTATTACTAACAATATTTCCTTTTTTCATTAGATAATAGATGTCTGCAATCGTCGTCGTCATTTAGTATCTACAGAAACGTTACATCAGATAAGAAAAATCTAAACTCAGTCAAATCATTTGTATATCAACATACAACTATTCATTCTCATTCTACAAATATAAATGTTAGAGCTCATTTATCTAACATTTCAAATGATATGCATTTCTTTATAGACAGATTCTATAACACCGCTATCTATTAACAATGATAACATTCAAACACCGCTATCTATTAACAATGATAACATTCAAACACTGCTATCTATTAACAATGATAACATTTATACAAATTCCTAACGTTATAATTTCTATTTTTGTTTTTTCAGGAAATTATATTTTTCGTAATAACATTCAAACACCGCTATCTATTAACAATGATAATCCATTGTTTGGTATTGGCATGACATCCACCGGTCGTTCAACCATCATTCAAAAATCTTCATCAATCAAGTTACCAAAAGGAAAACATCAATTAAAAAGGAAGACTACACACATATATGCTATAAATAAATTTAAATTATTTTTAAAATTTTCACCCGTGGTGTCCACAAGTTATATATATATATATATATATATATATATATATATATATATATATATATATATATATATATATATTAGTCCATAGCCTCTTTTATTTATTTGTTGAGTTTGTGCAATTCGGCAGACAAAGGATGAACTAAGAATAGGTTCGGTTTTTTTCCTTTTAATGGTAATATTTATAATTCATAATTATTAGTACTTTTTATAATCATTGGTATTTTTTTCTAGTTTACATTGTTATTGGTATTGCTCATTCAACATTTTGATATAGTCAATTATATTTCTTGAGTTCTTTTATCATAATTTTAATTTTTATCGAGTATTTGGTTGATTATTGTTATTTTATTTTCAGAAATTATTCCTCCTACGTATTTATTTGATAGTCAAAAACGTAAAAAGAGAAAAAGAATTGAAGAATCAACAAAGGCTTATAGTGGTTCTCTAGATAAGTTTTTCCAAAAAAAACTAAAGTTCCTTCTCAAAATCAAAATATAGTGATGATATTCCTGATAATTTGGGTGGTGTTATTGAAGGAGATCAAATTAATGATGTTAATGTTGATAATGTTAATGTCGATGGAGATCGTGTTGATGTTGATGATGGTGATGACATTGAAGATGATTAATGATGTCAATGCTTCTCGATGTTGCTATTAACGAAGTGAATATGCTAATTGAGTACTTCAAGGAGTTTAGAGAAAGAGGGTTCTCCAAGGCGATTGATGATGCGAAGGAACTTTCTATTGAAATGAATATTGATCCATATTCTCTCAAAAGCGGCCGGTTAGTAGAAAAAAAACAATTTGATGAGAATTCAAGTGATCAAAATGTTGTATTTTCAGCCGAGGAGAACTTTAAAGTTAATTACTTTTTTATATATTGTTGATCAAGCGAATGCTTCTCTTAAAACAAGATTTCAACAATACAAAGAGTATGAAAATATTTTTGGTTTCTTGTTTCCAAAAAAATTGAAGAAATTTGATGACAAAAATCTCAAGTCATGTTGTAGCCGTCTCGAAGCCGCACTTAAGTCTGGTGAACTGCAATCAGATATCGATTCTCATGAACTTTATATGGAGTTAAAGCTGCTTGATATGTTTTTACCGAGTGAAATTATGAGCCCTATTGATGTTTTAAAGTATATGAAAAAAGTCGATTGTTTTTCTAATGCAATTATTGCCTACAGAATCTTGTTGAATATTCCTGTAACGGTCGCGTATGCAGAAAGAAGTTTTTCAAAGCTAAAGTTGTTAAAGTCCTACATACGGTCCACAATGTTATAAGAAAAATTTAATGGATTGACGACAATAGTTATTGAGAAAGATATATTAGAGACTATTGATTATGAAGAGTTAGTGAACAATTTTGCTTCCAAGAATGCTAGGAGAGTCTCGCGATTCATGTAGTTGCCTAAGATTATCTATTGTATGATCATTTTTTTTGTTTTGCTTCATATTATAATAGTTATGGAATAATTAATGAATTTTTACTATTAGTAAAAAATAAATATATATATTTAGGGGCCCATTTTTTAGTTTGCATCGGGTCCTAAAATCAACGGACCGACCGTGGTATAACATGAATAATTTTTAGATTTAAAGTTGACAAATCCAACTTCTTAACGTTAAAGTTATATGTTTTTTTTTGGAAATTTTATATTAGCCACGTGCCCCCATGATCCAATGCATAATATTTTTCATGAATAATGGTCTTAAAACATAGGTTATTTTTCAAATAAATCATGCCCTCAACGTTGTGGCATATGGTCAACTCAGATAATATAATGATTTTTTGTTCAAATTATCCAAAATTAAATTTGAAGAATGATTTAAAGTTTAGATAAAAATGATAAATTACCGATATTATCTTTGTATGTTTCATTTTCAATATTATTTTTTTAACTTATTAATCTACTTATTTTTTTTTTTTTTTTGTTTTATCAAATAATTTATTTAGAATCAAGAAAGATTTATATAAACTCACAAGGGACGAAGAATATATGTGATTGGTCGATTGGGTATCTGTTTCACAGTTCAATGGGCCTCGGCCCAGTGGATAGGGTTTGATGTTACGCCTTACGCGTATGAAAATTGATTCATCTCCATCTTAGGGTTGCAGTACAGCGTAGAGGCGGAGGAGAAGCCGGCAAATCAGGGGACGATTGCTTCACGGAATAACGGTTATCGTGAAAACCTAATCTTCCGAGTCCACTAATTTCATTACTGTGTGATTTATGATACGGATCCCGATCCTGATTCGAGGACAATGGTTTTGTTTAGTTATTTTCTAGGGTTTGTTTTCTGTGTTTCTTTTTCTTTCTGATATAAGTTTCAATGATTCATCGACTCTAAATAAACTAAGTCTATTTATTTTGCATCAAATTTAGGCATAAAGATGTTTCAAATTGATCGAAAAATTAGTTTTATGCCTTTACAAAGTTGTTTCATTTTCATTTTCATCGTAGTTTGGTTATGTTTGGTTTGAAGGCGGACAAGAAAAGTGGAATAATAATGTAAAATTTCTGTATGTGTTGAATTCACAATGGTTTTATATGCTTTTTTCATGGATATGCCGAGTAATTGGATGGAATACATAAATAAATAATCTCTTGGTAACATACTTTTGGTATTTGTTAACTTTCTTGATTGGTTTTATTCTGTTTGCTGCTATTATGGATTTTGTTTGTTCATAAACTTTATTGCAGTTTTGTTATAAGAAATAAATAAATCGTCTTGGTGTTTTTTTTTAAACATCTCCAACCATGAAGAGGCAGCTGAATAACCAATGATAAACCTTTAACATTTGATGGCATCCACAGCAACTTAAGTATGAGTACGTCAGTTTATGCTCATCTGCACACTCATACCATGAGCATATGTAATCTGCATCAATATAGCGAGTTGGTGAATTATTTATGCATATTTATATCACAAGGCATGGCTTTGGTTTTTGTTCTCTTAATTAAGATGAGCTTTCTAATTCTACTGTGCAGCAGGGTTCAAAAGTCAACAAACTGCAGATGGTTGGGGAAATGAAGAATGACTCAGGTTTGGATGTATTCTTTTGCAAGAAGTTACTGTAAATACGTTCAATTAGAATTTTAGATACACAGACACGATTCATATAAAAAAATCATGCTTTGTATTTAAAATCTTTAGAATGCAAAGTCAAATAGTTTAAAATAAACACACAGAACAAGTTAAGTTATTTAGAATCTCCATGTGGTGATGCTAACCACTTAGTTAATTATGTAATACCTTGTGCACCGGTGTTGTCTTCTTCTATGGAGAACAGAACAGCCAAAACCCTAGATTTGTCATTAATCTGACTAGGTGTAGAGTTTTCACATCCGGCTAATTTCTCTTTTTCTTCTTCTTTATACTTCTGAAGTTGTTGTTACATAGAACTCTCTCTCTCTCTCTCTCTATATATATATATATATATATATATATATATGTTTCAAAAAGAGAAACAGTATTGAAAGAATAAGGTTTAAATCCTTTTGTTCAAAGCTTTAAGGTTTTATTAGGATGAGTTTATATTTTATTCCAAGTTTAGAGTTGTGTTTGGAAAAAATAACCAATCTACTGGGAATTGTTTGTTATGCTGAATTTAAATTCTTTGATGCAGGGAAGGTGACACAAGACATGGATCAAGGACACTGTGAATCCAGGTTACTTACTGGATATTTTAATTCTTTTTTGAATGATAATATTTTAAAAATACGGACATCAGAGATTGAAAAAGAAGTTTCACAGATTTGTATATTCTCTAAAGTTTCCATTATTTTGGATTTAATTATTTGCATTCTAAAGTTTACATTTGTTTATATTTTTCAGTACCACTTTAACTTTGGTGAACGATTTAAATAAATTAATGAGCAATGTTTGGTCTATGTCAAACATGCATGAAAGTCTTGGCGCTTGTTTAGAATATATGGATGAGGAGTTGCCAAAATATCTATGCGAGGTACATTTTCCGCCAGAGATGTTTGAGTTTGCAGAGGAGAAACCAAGATCTATCAAACCAGAGTCACTTCTACCAACTTTTAATGAAGATTTTGATGAAGATGAATTTTGCTATTGGATAGAAGATGTAGAAAGTGGTTTTGAGTATTGTGATGTCGCAGTGGATAAACAAGTAGAAGTTGTAGTCAGATGCACATTGCCACTTGAAGGAGAGGCTTTCAAATGGTGGCAAGGTATCCAAGAGCTAAGCAAGAAAGTCGATGGAAAACATTCCATTGGGTGGAATGAGATGAAAAACTTGTTTATGTCTAAATACCTTTATCCAAAGATTGTTTGATAGCTAACAAAACATCCTAAGTTTCTTTGTGACGGATTTAGAATTTGATTACACCCAAGGAAATGGAATTGCATCTATTTGGAATTTAAGGAAATTTGAAATCCTTTTGGCTTTATGTTTCAACTTTTTTGTATCTGGTAAAATTACGAACATATCGTTTTATCTTCTTTCGGCTCAAACTAAACCCATTCTAGCATATAACAAACCTCTATAACATCAGCAATGGTTAAACTTAACATTCTAGCAGTTAACAAACATCCATGATTTCTCATATAAAACTCATTCAACCTGTTATTCATTCATTTAACTAGGTGGATACATGATTAAAAAAAAAATTATATATGAAGATATAAATATTAAGTATTTTTTTACAGAAAAGATTAAATATCATGTAAATATTAAGTATTAAAAAAAAATCAAAATATATATAAACAAAATGATGAATCAATAAATAATTCAATTTATATTAATAAAAAAACTATAGAAAAATAATTATATTTTGGCCATATAATCTTTTATAATTTGCTAACAAAAAACAATAAAGTTTAATTATTTTTTCTATGTAAACCATTTTGCCTAAAATGATAATCAACTTTGAAAAAAACATGTTAATTTTGAATTGATTAAGGAAAAATATTAAAATTTGAAAATATAAGAAAATAAATTAATATGAAACATCCCAAAAATTATGATCGAAAATTTCTTTTTAAAACATTACTAAACCATAAATATTAAATCGTTTCAACCATAACTAAATGGTTTTATAACAAATCATAGTATCTTTTCAAAACACTTGTTCATTTTATCAGAGTAAACATCCTAGACTAATCTTTTTGGTGTGTGCCATGCGATCATCCCGAGCTCTTCCCTCCGCTATCGGAAGTACTTGAAACCAAAAATGAAAACCGTAAGCACGAGGCTTAGTGAGTTCCCCAACCTACCACATACCATATACGCATAACCAGGAACACATAACTACATACTGGGCCCCTGCGCGCTGCATCGGGCCTCGCCCTGCCTCGGACCCCGCCTGGCATCAGGTCCCGCCTGGCATTGAGCCCCGCTCGGTATACAAATGTCTCCCTTAGGCCCCTCCTGACTCCGGGCTTCGCCCGCTACACACATACATTCAATCAAATAACATACTAGAACATACATAAAAATACTCTAACTGTACCCTGATCTAAGGCCTCGCCTAACTTGGGCCCCGCCCTTGGTTTGCTACTGAAGTAGTGGAACCCCGTCCATACTCCTACTAGTACTGAGATACGACCCCCCCGCTCACATTCACATCATTCTTATCACGGGCCTCGCCCCTATTATGCTAACATCGAGATATGGAACCCCATCCATACTCAGCTAGTGATGAGATACGGGACCTCGTCCACACTCACCTCCCTACCAGGCACATACAAGTATCACGTAGACAACATGTATAATCTAACATACAACATAATAATCTTCCTTGGGATTGCCTCGACATCGGACCCCCGGTCCGGAGACATACTATTATCTATCATACTTCGGGCTTACCCCGACATCGGACCCTCGGTCCGGAACCTATCGTACTGACACATGCAAGAATCACAAAGACCTCTAGCATCCTAACATTCCTCGGGCCTTGCCCAACATTAGGTCGTAACCCGAAACATATAACAATAAGTGCCTAGGGCTAACCCCCCGAGTCTTCCTACTATACATAAACATAATGGGCCACCCATGCACACAGTGAGGAGACTCACCTCGCACTGCTGAAGGCTGGCTGAACACTTTTGACTGCTAACCGGCAACTTCTGAACTGCTGATCCTTCGACTTTTCGAACTATCAATACCCAAAATAACATTTAGACCACAATACTCTCAAAAGTCAACCCAGATCAAACTTGGTCAAAGTCAACGCTCCGAGTTGACTTCAACTCGCTGAGTCCCACATTCTACACAAAACTCTGGACTTCGATTCTACTCGTCGAGTTCTCCGTGAACTCATCGAGTACACCTTCAACACATTGGGACCCTCCTTCATCTGACTCGCCGAAACTCGCCGAGTCCACCTTCATAAATTAAGGAGATTGCCTTAGACTCTGTGACATCCCCAATTTCATGGCCAGAAAGACCGATTTGTTTATGCTTTGTTTTTAAAATCAGAGTAATCGTTTAAAGAAAATTGTTGCGGAATTTGTCCTCAAAATAAAAAAAATATGATAAGAATTTATCAAAGCATTTCTTAAAGAAAAGTATTTTCATTATATAACAAAATCTCGGGATGTCATGTTCCGATACAGACACATAAGCATAAACAGAACTTACATTTATTATCACTAATGATTTACATCTCCTTTATTCTCTCAGTGAAATATGTCTTCGTATTGATACCTGTGATACAAAGAAAACCGAGTGGGTCAGGCTTGGGAGCCTGGTGAGCATATAGGGTTTTCAACCCACAATAATACATTTATTATATTCAATTATCAACAATCAACCCAAATACCTATCTCCATTATCTTCTTTATTTATTAAGGTTTGACCTTAAGAATCGATTATACTTTCTTCATTCATTCCTAAGGATTTACCTAAGGAACTGGCACACAGTCCATTTGCTACCACGGTTTATACAACAGGCACTACGTCGCATAGTCACCAGGGTTCGTACAATTGGCACTACGTCTCATACTCACCAGGGTTTACACAATAGACACTACGTCTCATAGTCACCTGGGTTTACACAAAAGGCACAAAGTCACATCGTCACCAAGGTTTATCAAATAGGCACGAAGTCGCATCGTCACCAAGGCTTACTCAATAGGCACGAAGTCGCATCGTCACCAACTATTCCATCTACCCATGTTCTACCCAACATTTTTGTAGATATAAATACAAACACAATTTAAATCATTTAACACCCGTATAAAAACATCAATTCCAAATCCATCTCAAATAGATAATTAGTATATAACACATAGCACGTATTTCATAGCTAATACTTTATATTTATGTATTAGAAGAAAGTACTATGCACTCACGCATATAAACAACACATAACACGTATTTTATAAAATACTTCATATTTATGTGTAAGATGAAAATGACTATACACTCACTTGATCAGAAGATGATCGGGCAGCACTACGGCTTGCAGAAGTAGTGTTTCTCCGTAGATCTGGAAGATCTTCACAAAAACCGGGCTCCTCGCGGGCAGCGCTTCGGCTCGGGAATAACGCTCTTCGGGATCCTTGGGGCTTCGGATCTTGCTTCGGGGCTCAGGAATATTACTGGGGCTTCGGGATATAAACGGCACGCAAAACGAGGCAAAACTTAGAGAGAAGAAAGAGTTTGAACAAGAGAAAATGGCTGATTTCGAGTTCTATTTATAGGCTGAGGGTTTGGGATTACGCGGGGCGTAATCTCAAATTACGTAGGGCGTACTCGAGTTACACGGGGCGCACTTTGACGTCACTGCGTGCGTTGACTGGTGGCACTCGAGTATCGGTCAGACAAGTTGCATCCGACTGAGTACGCTGGGCGTACTCAAATTACGCGGGGCGTAATTGACTCGTCGAACTTCTAAATTGCGTAACTTTCGCATACGAGCTCCGTTTTCGACGTTCTTTATATCCACGCGAAGGTCAGACCATACTCTACAACTTTCATTTAGACTCCATTGGCTAATTTTGACTTTTATTTTTATTATTTATTTTTAGAAGGCCGGGACAGAAAAATTTCGTTATAAATTCATAACTTCTTTGTCTGACGTCCGTTCTCGCCTAACTTTTCATCGTTTCGCTACTAACAACGAGATATTCGATTCTCATTTAGATTGTTTCGGCTAAAAACCGCTCGATCTCAAATCGAGTATTCGGGCTGCATACTGCCACGTCGAAACTTCAGAAAATCATAACTTCCTCATACGAAGTCAGATTTGGACGTTCTTTTTATGCACACTCACGGTTTAACGAACTCTACAACTTTCATTTAGATCACTAAGGCTAAATATCGCTCTAACATAAATTCACTTTTTACTTCATTCAGCGTCATGCCGGTTCTGTCGCGAAACTTCGACAGGTCATAACTTCTTCGTTATAACTCGGATTTTGGCGCTCTTTATATGCACGGAAACCTTGTGACATATACTACATCATAATTAAGATTATTTATTCTAAATAATATTTTATCAAAAAGTCATTTTTTTTTACGCTTATCGTTTCTAAATTGACTAGTCCTAATCTACGGGCGTTACAGACTCGCCGAGTTCCTCCTTGAACTCGTCGAGTACGATGATCTTCATGTCCACTATGGACCCAGACTGGCTGAGTCCCATGCCAACTCAACTCATAGCCTTTAACAGAAGGGTTTTGGGGAAAGAAAACGGCCCTACTCGCCGAGTTCCACAAGTGACTCGCCGAGTCCCTCTATGTCCAATTCTATTCAGACGATTTCAGAAGAGCACAAGGCATCCAGGACCCAGATCTAACCTCATAGGGTCGGAATAACATGCAAAGCCACTACCTTTACATCCTTGCATGGCCCTTTTTGCTCAAAAGGCCAAAACAACCTCTTAAACTTTGCATGGGGAGTTCTAATGGCATAAAGCTTCCACCTTTATGCCTTAACTACTCTAAATACTTTCAAATCTAAAGGGATCTTGCTTGGGGATGTCCAAATCCCACAAGTAATCATTCTTGGTCCAAAAACTTCATAAAAGGGGCTATAAAGAGATCAAACAAACCAAAAGTCAAGATGAAGACTTGATTACCAGGAAATGCAGCCAATGGAGTGTATCTTCTGGATCTTCTTCCTCCTTCTTGAACCTCCAACTTCCTTCTTCTCCTTTTTCCTCTTCAAGAGTACACAATTCACACAAAAGTGGCTCAAACACTCACAAGATGCACTAGGGTTTCGTTCTGGTCTTGAAAGAGCATCAAGGAGGCTGATGAAGGGTTATAATGTTCCTTAAATAGGGTACAAGGCCCAAATTTAGGGGTTTCCCAAAAGCTGACTAACTCGTCGAGTCAATCCTCTGACTCGTCGAGTAGGTTACGTAACCCGCGATCCAAGTCACGCTCCTACTCGTCGAGTCACTCCTACTCAATGAGTCACTTCCTTATTTTGAGGGTTTTCTTTCTTTTCTAAGTCTTCT